GCCCCTATGTGCCCCGCCCACTGCCACTTGATTTTAGCAATTCTGCGAGCTATGTCGGTTACTTTGGTTCTCCTGCGGATCTCCTCATTTCTGATTCGATCACGCAGGGAAACTCCGAGCATAGCCCGCTCCATCGCCCTTTGGGTGACCTTGAGCCTTCTTATGAGGCCCATAGAGGCCCATATAATGATATGATGGTTATTTATAAAATTGTGGTTAATACATAATTCTTGGTCTACAAGACCTTTAGTTTCGTGGCGGTAGATTTGAAAATGAAAAGATGTGATAATAATAATGTAACTAAAGTATTTAATTAAATAGAATTTAAATTAAGATACATCGAAAACATACCTTTATTGTATCGGAATTAAAAACTACATCCTTGTTAAGAGGTTACAAAGGTCGGACAAATGTACTAAGTAATCTAAATCTACGGACATAATATGTAAAAATAGTCAGAAATCTTGATTGGATTCCAATAGCAATTATTTGTATCAATTACTTATCATCGTGTGTTGACATGATAATTATAAGCTGTAATTACACAAGCATTAAATGAAAAAGTGAGTACAGTTTTAGCGAAATCTTGTCATTTTCCATGAATGAACAATTCTATGGGGCAAAGCCAAAACCTGGAGACAATAAAGCCTATTTTTCGAGCGATTTTAAACGTTATATTTATTTTATTTTAACTGTCTTTAGTGTTGCACTGTTAAACTGACTACTGGAGAGAGGGAGAGAGATAATCTTCCTAGACCCTAGGGAAAGGTCGCGCCATTTCTCGTAAGTACTGGCGTGGAAACCTTATGATGTTTGTGTTTTTCACACTAGTTGCTGTCCTACAACAGCTTCATATACTTGACTAGTGTCTAACGGACTATTCCCACCGCTGCAACTCCTTTGTAGCCAGGGTCTATATGTATAGCTTGACCGACAATAAAAACCCAACAATGAAGGTCAAGTTTGTCCCGGGGGAAGGTAAACTGTCATTGGACCCGCAACGAAATTAATCTAATTTGAGTAGTGGACTAGTCTGCTAGTCTTTACTGCCTGAATAGCATGGCTCGTATCAATCAAGACTCGACAATCAACGACAATAATGAATTATTTATGGTGTCAATGGCCTGGCAAGATGACGACAAGGATGTTGACTCACAGTTTCCTTAAATGATAATGGTAATGTTAATCGCTATGTAAAACTGTTTTATACTTCTGTACAAGTACCTATCTATTAGATATCAACAAGAAGCAATTCCTCTTCCTGTAAAGTCTTTTCCACTATTTCCTTTCTTTTTTAAGCTATTTATTTATTTTATTTATTATTCTTCTAAGGTCCGATTCGACCAAACTTTTATTCGAGAATAACTCCAGGTATAACTGGCACATTTACAGTTTCAGTATGGGAAATATGTCGAAATGTCGAATAAGTGACGATTTATTCTGAGGTTAATATTTTACATTAATACTCTTGTTTGGTCGAATCCACGCTAAGAGTCTACTTAGTACTTTTACAGTTTGTATACAGGAACTTCAAACAGTAGATTCTGGCTGTACAGGAGTTAACCAGCAAGGTTCTGACATCTTTACCACATACATCATCTTCAGATTACTGAGTGTCCCCTTATAGTTTTGGGAAAGCGTGGAAAAGCTGCAGCTATCCAATCTGATAGGGTATTCTCTAAGGATACGAGTATCTTGTTCCGCTTTTGCCGTGACAAACCTGAAGAATTGACCCATCTACCGGTCAATAACACACATTCCGTTATAAAAAATGTAAACAAACGTTACCCAGTTAAAGTTATTTACGAATATACCTATCTTTTAACCACAATTTCCTTATTGCTACTCCAAGTCAGTAGCGAATATACTTATTTGTATTATCACGTTTGTCAACAAACTATTGCCGCACGCTTACGATAATGAGTTGGAACACAAAACCACAACAAAACCCTGATGATTCATGCAGTGTGCAAACATCGACTTTATTGCAATGAAATTAGAACATTAAATACCGTTGTAATGTGTACTTGTTAATGAATGGAACGCAAAACCTCAACCGCCGTAGTAGGGCGACTCGTCATAGACATGTCTGCAGGTTTTTTCTAGTGAATGGTTATGTTACGGTCAAAGTGATAAATGTGAAAATTATGAATAATCGCCGGTTATTATGAATAATTACCGCATGATTTGGTAAATATGATTAATATGAGGTCATTTATGTGTGTATAAAACTAAATAGGCGGCTTAGGGGTGGCCCAGGCCACCCCCGCCGCACCTTAACCTATTTTTCACTTTAAATCAAAACATTATGTTATAGGCATCATGGAAAAGTAATATTATGCAAGAAACATTCCAAACTCATTATGCCAAATTATATTAATATATGATATCAAAACGTTCAAAAGTTTGGCTGTACACGAGCACGTACACAAGATGTTGTTCTCTTTTATGAAATTTGTTAGTACTAAGGTTAAATTATTAAATAATCACTGTTAAATGTGATTAATTTATCACTTTTACCGCGAATGTCGGTAATTATTCATAATAACCGGTTATTATTAATAAATTTTCAATTTATCACATTAACCGTAACAGTTACACATAAATAATTCTATACATGTCAATGGCATCTAAAGATTTTCCTTAAATCATTGTTTGCGTCGCGGATTTACGATTAATCATTTTTATCAAGAATCATGACAGTTATAAACATATCTTTAGTAAAACACGAGACAGGCAACATGGACTAAAAATAGCGTGCAACAAAGAAAAAGTAAGTACTAGGCTCATAAGATCACAGGCAGAATGAGCTTCTGATTGAGATTGTTTGTGTCATGGAAACTGTATTTAAAATTAACACTCTTGACTGTCCACAAGACAACTCAAGTGCTGTACATTGCTCTGTACCTGATGATTAGAAGCCGGCGTTCAGTATCTTTGAATTATTCTAGTCTTTTTGTTAATTTAACTGCCTTAGCAGTCAGCATAGAAGCATGTAGTGGATTGTGCTCGCAAGACTCAAGACAGAAAAATGTAGAGAAAATTCAGTGTCATTCTCCGATTGCTTAGGAGTTAGTAGGACATTGGAGAGTTGCAATGTCCGAAATCTGATTACTTTTTTCTTAGAAGTCGGAACACGACGATTCACGAATCGGGCTGTAGAATCAAAATTAAATGTTTGACAGTAATGAATTTTAATCCTCAATTGTTACTTAGTAACAGCCTACAAAGCAGAAGAATAGTAAGTACGCAAAAAAACGCAAAAAACATTTGTATACTACGTTAAGGAAAACCAGTTACACTTCGCAGTACTTGACAATGGATGAACTTCTGTAGTTTGTTTACATAATACAAAGTAGCTGCAGACAATGGCCGCTTGTATCGGTCGGTTGCTAGGCGGAGGGAATCCAGGGTTCTTCCGATCGGAATATGGACAGATACATCAAGTTAAACATTATGGGATCTTATACGATTGTATTTAGGTGTTATTTTGCAACAGCAAATCCCACCACCACCCAGGGTTCTTCCTGCCTCACGGCGTACGAACCGAATCTCGGGAGAGCGCGCGGGTACTTGCTCTGGGCTCTTTTCCCCGGACGCTTTGCTTGACTCCCTACAAATTTCTCAGATCCATGTCCCTTCTCTTAGTCAATTCTACCCCTTCTGGGGCTTGACACCACAAATACGGTACTTCGCGTCGGGCTGCTATCGTTGATAAATGTCATCACTTCTACTCATAACTTTGCAACAGCAAATGTAGTCCGGAAAACGCATCGTGAGATGTCCACCCACTAGGTGGACCGAAGAACTCATAAAGGTAGCAGGAAGGCGCTGGATGCAGGCCGCTACCAACCGGGCGATGTGGAAATTATTGGGGAAGGCCTATGTTCAGCAGTGGACGTCCTCTGGCTGAAATGATGATGATGATTGTAGTACGAAGTGTTTATTATTTTGTTCCTTGTTTTTTGTAGTTTGATCGATAGCTCGATAGCGAAGTGATGCGATGAATAAAATTGGAAATAAGGTCAAGCGTTCGATTCCTGGTTTATCTTAGAAAACTGTATCTTTTGCGGCCTTGAAGAAAACTAATATAACGAATTCGATATTTATAGGTGTAAGATATAATTAATTTATTTGAAGTAGATATTACCACATATTTAATAAGTATTACGAGTATATTGTTTTAGGTAGCAGTTGATTGTTGATACAGTTGTTTAAGATCGTAGTGAATATTGAATTTAAATTGCGTCAATGATGATTATAAAGTGAATATTACTTAGGTACACGTGGAATATTTCAAATTAATATTTCAATATTATAATTATTGGGGGATGCCTATTTTCAGCAGTGGACGTCCTGCGGCTGAAATGATGATGTATTAATATTTTTTCATGACAAATAAAGTGAACTGAATTCGTATTATGCTTTCTGTATGTGAAAAATATGCGTATCTTTATGCGTATCTACTTTATCAATTTTCCTCATAAGTGAACGCTTTTAACTATTCGAGCAATTTTAACATCTACTCGTTCGTCGTTTAGTTAATTACTTCACTGTGTTTGGAATTCATTCAGTGATGTTAGGAATCTATTTAGGATTCATACAGTCCTAGACTTTCATTCATAATGTAAAAATACATACAATGAATATGATTTTGAACTACAAAACGTCAACTGACTGTACTGTATGTACCTATTTCGTTTACTGGTAATATTAAACAATTGGTTTAGTAGATTAAAACACAAAAAAGTTATTGGGACTGACTTGATTCGTCCGGAGTCGTCCGCGTTAATTTCGATCTTTCACATGTTGTTTTATCCATCCATATATTCTATAGCCTATGTGCATCATAGGGATAATATGGGATTCGAATGGTGAAAGAATTTTTAAAATAGGTCCATTAATTTCAAACAATCGAAATCTTTCCTTTTTATAAGACATGATTTTCTGCTAAAAACTTTGTCTAAAAGATCATAATATTAACAAGTAAAACAGCTTACCTTTTCTGCCAGCTAGGTCGTGTTCCCAAGACTCGGGCAGTAGATGTAGGAACACGTCTCCAAGCAGACCGCCGACTGCGAAGCTCAGCAGGACTCGCAGTGTTGCTGCCCCCGCTGTAAATAAAGATAATTTAATGTTAAAAGGCGTAGGAGATAGTTTACGTCATTTATCAAAGGATAGGGTATGGATAACTACTAAAACCTATGCTTTGGAAGGGAATGACTGCGTGTGTCAGTTTTTGATGATGCACAAATATCGGGACCACAGATGGTTACCTAATAGTTACTCAGGGAGACCGGGACTAAGAAAGAAGACCGCCATTGATTAGAAATTAGCACAGGACTGGTCTTAGTGGAAATTCATAGGGGAGGCCTTTGTCCAGCAGTGGACGTCATTTGGCTGAAAAGTGCGATTGATTAGAAATCTTTCCGTCAGTGCAAAAGATAACTATCTTACAAAGATTGAGGATATTCTGGCACAGTTAAGACATGAGACGACGAAAAATTTCGGGACAATGCCGAAATTCCAAAGCCTAGTCGAAATACCACACAAGGATGCAGTTTCATTATTATTTGTTGGTAGGTACATATCTATTTGTATTTCTATTATTATCGTATTCAATCAATACATCGTCAAACGTTTCTTTTATTAACATCATCTAAGAGTAAGACTATCTGGACTTCGAAAGCGAAGATTTCGATAGACTAGCTGGCCCTGGTCTATCGAAATTCAAGTTCAAATGGAGCCTCATAAATCAAGCCTACACCTCTTTATGTATCTAGATCACAATAGAGCTGAAGTGTCTTTTATGAATACAGGTTTCTTTATGTCAACTTACAGTCTTTGCTTTTTGCACAGCAGTCTTCGTACAAATAGACTTTAGCGCCAGATGTTTTTCAATTGGACACGCAAAATTTCATAACATTTCATCGGGTAACGACGAACGGTAGTTGCAATCGATTTAATACATTTCCCCTTTGAATAACAATCACATGAACACAGAACTCGGTTGTTTTTGTAATGGGGCGCTTGTTTCGAATGACAAAGCATTATCATAAATCGGTGTTTTTATCTATACAGTCGATAATAAAACCTTGTATCAATATACAGAACGTTTTTCATTGCTTCTGTAATGCATATTGTATTATACATGACCGCACCCATTCACCTTGAGGAGGCCTAAATCATACGGAAAAGAATAGAGATTCAATTCAAAATTGTATGTAGAGTCTTGACTATCAGTAGCTTTTTTCGCCTTGATGGAAGGCAAATATTAGGTAGGTATAGGTTCTTTTGTATTAGATTAGACTTTTTTAGGATCTAGACCAGGCAGTGGCATATGCCTGGATGTCTTTGAGACCTAGGTTCTTCGGGTAATTTTATTCTTTTCATCATGTAATTCATATTGTACTATGCAGAAGTAGTGGAATATTCTGCTGATCCGATTTATCTGTTAAACCCTTGTTTCCATTATAGACTTGACAGTTTCGTTACGCGCGATGATCCCTTCATCACCTGTGGGTGTCCGACACGCTTAGTAACATCTTCGTATCATCCGTGACGTCACTATCAAACCCTAATCTCTGGCTATCGGCGTGAACTGGGCATCTACCTACTCCTTACATTGTAGCATGATTTCCAAATATTCAGCTAGATAGTAATTTATGGACAGAATGATGGATTTACTGATGGTATCTGAAAATTGTGAAAATATCAAGTGATTTTAAGTAGTTTCTTTGTGTTTAAATTCGTATCCATCATCATTTTCTGTATTGAACGAGTATTATTTTGTTCATACATGTTAGGTATACTGCATTTCTGATAAATACTGTTATTTTTTGAAGAATTTTTTCAGTCACTCACACCATTCATTAATGTTTTAATACGTGTGGTTTAAAAAATCATTAACAATCTTCATATCGTGTAATTATCAGGTTGTAGTACATATGTAATAAATTATCAGCCGTCGAAGCAATCGATTATGCTTAGTACTGATTGAATGATAAGTTTATCAATTATGTTTACAATCTTAAGCTTGTTCTTAATCAGGTTTGGGTCTTAAGGCCTTATCATTCAGTTGGGTACAGATTTTACCGTGCGTTACCACCAATGTATTATTTTAATTCATTATTGAAGATTAGTGAACCTAAAAGAGTCAAAAGCCTCGATAACTTATAAGATGATAAAACCAAAATACGCTCAATTTTAAAAAACTTTAACTCAAAAAGAAAAATCATTCCCGAATTATTTCATTGGATCTGCTTTTTCAGGCTATTGGGATTGATCATTTAAATTTCAAATCTCAAGAGGTTAGAAACAGCAGAGATGGTAACACACGTCCTTTAAATAGATTGTCAGATTATCTCAATGTCATCTACTATGTGTACCAATTCACTAGTTATTATTCATAATAATTAATGCTATTCATCAAAGGTTCAAATTAAAGGACCCATAATTTCGAAGGACCAAAATTCTTCACCGCATCGCATTCTGCTGATGCTAGCGAAACTGCTGAAGAATTTCCTTTCCTCGCTTTGCTTTCCTAAACAAAAACTTTCTTCAAGTCTTAAAAAAATCGCAAGGATGCTAGTTTTTTTGCCAGGAAACATCAGACTACATTGACCCGCGCTGTTTGGCTATATTATTCCTCAGTCACAACAATAAAGTGTGACAGATAACACAAAAAACAATGATCATCTGTCAGTGGAGCATCATTTGTGTACGACAACGCCTTACTGCAATGACACAGAGTTCAAATTTTATCAGCTATCATTGTTGGCCCGCCGCACGTACGGTGATAGCATTAGAGTGGTCTGATAATGGAATAAGCAACTGTTCTTGAATCGAGGATGGTGATAAGAGAAATCACCTGCTTTTGGGAAGGATATGACAATTAAATTAAAAAAACAGACTGCGGTAGGTTAACAGAAAAGATGCTTCTCATGGAAAACTATGGGATATCACAGTTGATAATTGCAGCAATAATAGGTACGGCAGCCAGGTAGATCTTCTGATTCAAAATCAATCCAGACATCCCAACTATCCCAACTAATATTATAAATGCGAAAGTAACTCTGTCTGTCTGTCTGTCTGTTACGCTTTCCCGCTTAAACCTCGCAACCGATTTTGATGAAATTTGGCATAGAGATAGTTTGAGTCCCGGGAAAGAACATAGGATAGTTTTTATCCCGGTTTTTGAAACAGGGACGCGCGCGATAAAGTTTTTCTGTGACAGACAAAATTCCACGCGGGCGAAGCCGCGGGCGGAAAGCTAGTTACTTTATATTCTTCTCACCAATTGATTTCTTTCAGATTTTTTTCTGACGATCTAGATTAATCCGGATTTTGGGGCTTCTATTATGATAAGTACCTTGTGTTAGAACACATTTGTTTCTCCGACCTCTTGCGCTGATTCTATGGCCATTATCACGAATGAGCAGCATACAATCATCCTCTGGGTACGTGAATTTTAATAAAACTTCGGATAGTCCAAAATTCTCTCCAATTGACTTTTCAGCAAAGATTTGATTGACTCGATCAATTTTAATGCAAGTAATCCGAGTATTTACATTATTATTCGTATCGAAACAATATCGCTGGGCAGTGTTATTGTTTATTGACATGCACGATTGCATACAGTAATTATAATTTCCCGTACCTACAGAGTAATCTGCATGTGTAACGGATACGGTGAGTTTATCGAAATTTAACGCGTTAGTGACTTTAATGCCTGAGAAGTTCATAACTTATGTGAAGTCAGTTAATCGTGGTCCACAAGTTGATAGAGTAATTAGTGGGATTGTTTTTTTGGTGCAGATTTGTTTCGAAAACAATAAGAAGAAGGTGGGTTTTGGTATCCGACATTAATCAAAGTAAAGCTTCGTTCAAATAAGACAACCACGTTAAAGAACGTTTACATCACTCGCAATTGAAATTGATGCAACAATTGCCTCGGTTGTCTCGGCATCAAGCAGTACTGGTAATAATTAATGCTGCCTGAGGTATTTGTACCTCGCAGCATATTGCATTGTCTTTATAACAAGTCTGAATTACTACTATGACTACCTAATTTTCCATCAGTCATATAGTGACATCACGGATGTTTTCCAAAGACCCGTGACATTACACTATTTTACAAACACTTGACTTCATCGTATTCTGTTTCTTTCCATTATGACTTGCAATTGGCATGACGTGATATGGAAAGAAGAAACAGAATACGATCCAGCAAGTTGACTCCAACCAACCAACGGTTCTTCAGAAGCATGGCAACGGTATTTTTGACGAGGGAGTATCCTCGATCATTCGATGGTTGGACATCGATTGTGAATTTGTGACCAAACATTACCGCGTGCCGACATATTCTGGAATATCTGAGGACTTTAACGATACAAAAGTCCTATTTACCAAATCCATTAAGGAGGACACCGATGCGCATCCAATAAATACATTTATTGGATATCCAGTGACCTATAAAATTGCGTATGACGCAAACGCCTCTCGTGGGTAGAAAACTGGTTAACGGGAGTGTATCATAGATTGTTTCATTCAGTTAGCTTTTTTATATTCTTTTGAAGATTTATTTGGATTTCTATATCTGTCCCTGTGATAGTTTAGGACTTCAGGCGATTTTCACGTAACGTAAAACGTTTTCGGAATTAATTCTGTCGCGGATTTTACTTTTTCTAGGGCAGTCTAAGGCTTCTGGTTTATCATAAGCGTAGGTATAATCAATTATTGCCTGGAAACCGTTTGCTGAAGGTTTCATGCTTTGACAGTCACAGTTTAACTTTCCCTGCACTGGTTGGGTTTTTATTGGCAGTCAAGCTGTAGATTCTAGCTACACAGGAGTTGCAGCAGTGGGAACGAGAGGTGGGAATAGTCCTGCAGACACAATAAGTCTCGTCTCGATTGGTGCATGGCAGAGGCCTATGGCGGCTCATTAAGTCTTAAAGACTGGTGTAAGACTGTCTTACATCAGGGTTGTGTTTAGTGGTTACTAGAACATAGTAAAGATTTCTTTTTTTTTTAATGCATTCAAAAGGTACAAAACAATAGTAACCTTTTTTTGAAGATTTCTTTTTGGACTGTAATCAAAAGGAAAAAAACAATGAATGGTGCCTTATTTATTTTAGTTATTTTGTTAGTAGAAAAAAACAAAAATAGACCACTTCTTAGACTAATTGTTTTTGTTGCTTTCGATTTCAAAAAATCTGTTAAAATGGTGAAACTTTAGTATCTATTGTGATCCACACAGCCAGTCAAGCGTTTGAGATAAGTTGCCTAATCTGAGTTTCATAAGAGCACTCAAACTGCTACCTGAAGTGGTTACTGGTTAGGCAAAACATAAGTATCAGATTCAATTTATAACTAAGAAAATATTAATAAGAAAACATCAAGTTAAGAATGAGATAAAATAATTAAACTTAAAAAAGTGTAATAGCATGAAATGTGGCATTCAGTCTGTTGATAGTTTGTTTTCTGGTAAAAAAAACCAGTTACACACAAAATAACAAGAAGTTGTTTTAAGATAAAACCAACAAATGAAAATATAAAAACAGTAGGACATATTATGACTCTGCTGTTTTATTTATCTTACATGTTAAAATCTTATTTATTATAGGTACAGATATAGGAATTGATATATCACCACTGAATTTCCCAAGCATTTAATTTCTTTTGTTGTAGCCAATATCCTAATCTGAATATGTTCCTAGTTTGAAATTTTGGGAATAATGGGATTATTTACAGACACAATACCACACATTTATTGTACCAAATAATTTGTCTACATTTATAAATGATTCAGATCTGTGCAAAAAAGATCCCAGAACATTCGGTACACACACACATAACAACCACATAGATTTTGTCCCTGTTTTGTCGTTATGCAAAATTATTAAAATTATGTAAAATAAAATTATTAGCCATATCATGTGAAAGAAAAAAAAACAAAGAAAGAATCTACAGTCGACAGCAGACTAAGTTAATATTTTTCTTGCAAAGTTACTCTCATTGCAACTACATGAGACATAACTGTTTTCCTATTTGGTTAACTATAACATGTATGGCAAAGGTTAACACAACCTGATACTAGCATGTTATTTTTAAACATCTTGACTTTGAAACAATGCAAGCATGTTTTATGTGAACAAACTTTTACAAGACTTGGTAAATAATATCTTTAAATATTTAATGACAACTTTGTATTGGTAATTTATTTTGTTGTTCTAATTTACATAATTCATGCTGTAGATAACACATCACATCACACACTTCTGTTTGATTTGTTGATACTTTCAGGGAAAATAAATAGGTAAAGATTCATTAAAAAATATTTTAAACTTCAACTACTGATTCTTATTAAAAATTGTTTTGTTTTTCAAGTTTCTAAGTAGGAACAAATGAAGAAACAATAAGAAAACTATTGAATTTTTTTAACATTGTTTTGTTTTTATTAAGTACAGTAATTAGTTGTGTTCAATTGTTTCTTTATTATATTGTATGTAAAAGACAGAATTATGTTTTTAGTCTCACTTAGTATCGATGGATGCAACAAAGGATCGCATGTGTAGTTGTTGGCATCCCACATGACATGGATGACATACAGTACTAAAAATAGGACCTTGTTCACGACGAATATTTCGCAAAATTAACAAAAGCAACACTCACCTCCGTCCTTAAACGACGCAGATTCGTCGATGGGTATGATCAGGAGAGGCAGGATCCCACTGAGTCCAACTAGAACTGAGGCAAGAGCGGCAAACAACCACGGATGTTCATCTAACTCCTCCATCAGAGTAAACAAATATTCTGGGATATATCCCGCCAAAACTGAGTCCGTCGCAGCACTCATCGCGTTAATTTTTTTTACGTTCTAAATTCAAAAACAATAACACCAGCCAGGAACTTCAAAAAGTTTTTTTTATTGTACGACTATGAGCGACCCATTTCTAGGAAGCTCAACCGATCCGTCTCATTCCGCACGACGAACTAAATAAATCAGTAATCAGTACACAAGAGATGTACGCTTATTTCCGAGATAAAGACATGAGACGAAATACGGTCCGACTTGAGATTGAGGACGTCCGCCGGTTTGATTTTCGTTTTCAACACTTACTATAGATTTCACTTCCCAATTAATGTTTTTTCATTTTAATAAACCCGCTCATTGCGCATTTATGTAACGCGTACAAACGAAATTCCAAGGTAACACGCCGAAACCACCAAACTCGATACCGAACTTGAAAATATCAAAACAAAGTATAGAACGAATGAACATTAATGGCTGGCCGTTTGACAGAAGGACAGAGAGTGAATGAATGAATGACAATGAAACAGGCAAGATAGTGTTGTCTACCATAATTTTATTCGATTATTTTACAGGGCAAAATCGATTACTTTATAAATAAGAAAATTTTCGAGTAGAGAGGATAAACGAACAGTCGATTTGGTGAGTAGCGAATGTTTTAAATTATTCTTTCTTTTTTTCTTTCTTACATTGAACAAAAAAAAACAGATTAATTGATGTCATATACTATAATATTAATGAATCTAACTTAAATGTTTTTAAATAAAAAACCGACTCCAAAAAACCTACACTAAAACGTAGAAAAATAATTACTAATTACCTACTTATTTATTAGGACGAATTATTAATATTTATGTAGGTATACCATGATTGATACTTTTGGAGTCGGTGCAAGCAAACTTTACATGTTTCATAATCTTTTTTATAAAATTTTATTAATTTTTTGCTTTTTAGTTAACTAATTATTACCTTGATGTTACCACTGAAGGTAGGCAGTACACTGAGACCAAAAAAAAATTGGTTCATAATCGGCGGAGATATTGCGTATAAAAAAGTTCATCCCCAATTTTCAAACCTTAGGGGTGAAATATTTTCTTCAAATTCGCATGAAACCACCCTTTTGATAATACCTATTCAACAAAAAAATAATCGTTCAAATTGGTTTATAATCGGCGGAGATATTGCGTATAAAAAAGTTCATCCCCAATTTTCCACCCTTGGGGGTTGTTTTTTTTATTATTAAATTTAAATGGAACCACCCTTGAGGTATTACCTATACGCCGAAAAAAGATTTGTTCAAATCGGTTCATAATTGGCGGAGTTATCGCGTAACAAACATAGAAAAAAAAAACATACGGTTCGAATTGAGAACCTCCTCCTTTTTTGAAGTCGGTTGAAAATCTGGTCTAGGTATTATTTAAATCTAAGAGTAATTATTTTAATCAGAAATGTTTTTCTATAAAATTTAACAGCCTTGTGTCGATACTTCAAATCGATTTGAATAATTCGATTTTTAAGAACATCACTAAGCTTGTTTGACGTATTAAAAAAATGTTACCAGCAACTAAATATTTTTGTACCAATTTGATAGTTTTCGCAATCAATATTTGGGATAGAATTTAGAATTATATTGTAAGTACAAACGAAAAGTGCTAGTACTACAGGAGAGATCTATTGATCTTAACGGTTTAATGTAGGTACATATTTTATTTACATGAATGTACTTAATTTAAGTAAGCACGATTGGTGATTAACAGACAGTTAATTTTTGCAATATGAAAATAAATTTGAGTTAAGTACGTTATTTTTAACTAAATGAACAGTGTATAGTATAGAAAGAGCTTATACCACAGATAATTTACTTCGCTTATACCTCTTTATAATTTATATTTTATTAATAAAATATTTTTAACACTATAACGTACTTCGTTGTTACTTTTTAAAATAAAACCGTAATAAATATCATTTTAAAATTATTCATTTGCTAAATGATGATGAGCTCTAAGCAGAATGCTATGAAAAATGCCTGTTTGGGCAATTTTGTCGAGTCAGTTAACGAATATTAAAAGCCTGCTGTTACTGACTGAGCTGCCTCCTATAATTAACACGTTAGTTAAAATGATGCTAAACGGACAACTACATCTATCTCTTGGTAAGAGTAGCACGAATGCAATACGAGTCCTCTTGGCAGCCACAACGGTCAGCGCCCAGTTCAAGCGAAATGCCGTACTTATTTTGGCTTGCCAATTTAATACTGACAGCATACATGTCTAGTATAGGTGTACAGTCTTACAGAGATAAGTCTTGAATCGCATTTGTAAAGCGAAAGACAACATACATGACGGATATTTGGTGCTACTAATGTGCTTTCGCGCCAAACGTGTGTGTTTTGAAAAGTGAACGTAGCAGACAGTGCGTGAATAAAGTTTATTGAAGTGAATTGTTTGTTAATTATTCATAATGGATTCGTGGGGTATTCTTAACGTGGATACAGCAGCAGCTGCAATTTCAAGGGATGACATGCAATCCAGTTTTCGTCGGAAGCAAGTTATGGTAGGATACCATCTACACATTTTCCTTATTGTAACAAAATACTTGTTTAAAACTTATATGTCTGTTTAACGAATAAAAGTTCAATCAATTGATATTTTTGAAAAATTAATTTTTCAAACGACTATTTTAAATCATTTCAATGTTAAATTACACGAATTGTTTTTGTTATTTGGATAAGTCCCAAAGATGCCACACTATGCAGTTAATATTATATCGATGATCTTTTATTTTTATACAGGCATTTAAGGATCATTATTATAATAATGTTTTTTTTTTAATAAAAATAAATTTAATTTAATTCAAATTCATAGAACTAATGATAAAGTTTAACTATTTAAAAAATAAGAAAGCGTCTACTAAGGCTGATTAATAATAACTAATCTTTTAACTGACTTTCTATTACGATCACTGTAGAGTAGCGTCGCGTCGCGTCGTTCTAAAAAAATATTTTTGTAGCTTTTTAAATGTTATTACTTAGGTACCTACTCTTAAAAACCATCGTGTTTAAAATTTTGATGTTATTATGATAATAATAATAATGAAGATTTCTCCATAAATTGATAAAGTCAGTGTGTGATGGTGATGAATTATAATTGCGGTGCAGGCCGAGGCAGTAAATTAATGGATGTTTATTTCCAGCACAGAGTTTAACTACGAAAGCTGAACATTTAACAGACTATAATAATTCACGTTGGTTTTCTTTGAATAAGAATTGTTGCCTCTACTATTGTCATTATTACAGCTAAAGAACAAAGAAAAGATACTGAGAAATGACTACAACAACTAATATTTCGTTCGAGCACATGAAACAAAGCGAAATTTTATTTCAAATTACTTATAACTATACTATAAACTTGCTTGCAAAGCCAACTGCAAGCTGATTAAGTTTATTTACCTTCTCTTTATTGTATGTAGCTAAGCTTATCATATAAAATCGAAGAGACTAATGATTTAACTGCCTACTTAATGGCGTTTGCTAACACAAGAAAGAAAGAAAGAAAAAAAAACCAAACCTACTCTGAAACTGGAATACGAAAGTTTTTAATTTAGGTACTAACGGAAAACATACTGTATTAATAATCATAGAAAAGTGACAGAAAGTGAAGAAAAATCACAGATGTTGAATTTCAGAATCTAAAATGAAAGTAATCAACGCGCTATGGCGGAAGTTTATTTACATTAACAACATTTCGGTCAACCAAAACATTACATATCTACACGAGTCGGTGACATTCCTTACACATTGCGATCTGTATGATGCGGTTATCTTAATATAGTCTTCTCGTCTCATTTGCCCGAAAAATAATCACGATATGTATGCATGCATTGATGAATCACCGTAAAGTTCAGTTTCACAGATAGTTACACTCTGAAATACAAGGATGTTAAGATTAAATCAAAGGTTGACGTGAAAATAATTATTTATGGAAAATTCGCAGTTAGCTACTGTTTGTGTTAAGAAATGTTTAGTTAAATACTTAACATAATTGAGTGTAAACAATGTAGCATTATTACTTAAATAGTGAATTGGGCAATCTTATGACTTTTCCAGCGAGCGCAAGCGGTGCCAATGGTGCCATTATCTTTCAGCGCATCGCATTTCTGCCGTAAGTGGCGGTTCACTGAGCTATTTATAAACTTGATGGTCCATCCATCCATACGCTTAGTAGGTACCTACTTACTGTGAACAAGATTGTAATTAATTTGACTGAAAAACGTAGGTCGATTTTTAACACAAGAAAAATAAATACTTCTTCTTACTACTCTAAAAATCACGTTTTAAATAATTTCATTTCAATTCATAGTCCAGTCAATGAATGCCTTAACGACGGTGTAGAGAGAAATCCATGGAACACAATTTCTGACCTCGGGACTTTATTTAGCCTAGTTAGGAGGTGAACATAGCAAAAGTCCCCACCCTTAGCCCTTGAGCCGGCAGGGAGAGGGGGGTTTAAAGGTACCACTTTTCAGTTTTTCGCTTAATCCTCGGAAACTATGCGTCCTAGTGACATAACTACTATGAACCAAAAAAAGCTTATTCAATTTGCTACAGGCGAGACCGTCAAGTTTTTCTATATCTTGTATAGTTTTTGCGGCATCTGCTCTAGAAGGTCTGTAAAATTGGAAATTTAATTTTTGTCTTACATGTTCCTATCAGGAGAAAATCGACTAAATCAACATTGAGCAAACACTATAGACATGCGGGAGCATGTTAAGCCTAGTTCCAGGGAGGGGACTGCACCGTGCGTATATTTATACGAACCAATTGGAGCCACTTTTGACTCCTCATCATTCAAAAACTACAGTGCATTANCATAACTACCTTTCTGGATGCCAAATTTGAACCTTCGAGGTCATCTGGAAGTGGTTAGAATTTGGTATATAGGTCAGACATGTAGATTTTTGGACGTCAATACCTAAAGAACCGTTTGAGGCATATTTATGAAATTTGAAGCTGATGTATATCTTGCAAGTCTCAACACATGAGCCAAATTTGAAGTGTTAATGCACAGTAGTTTTTGAGTGATGAGGAGTCAATAGTGGCTCAAAGTGGTTCGTCTAAATATACGCACGGTGCAGTCCCCTCCCTGTAACTAGGCTTAACATGCTCCCGCATGTCTAGAATGATTGCTCAATGTTGATTTAGTCGATTTTCTCCTGATGGGAACATGTAAGACAAAAATAAAATTTCCAATATTACAGACCTTCTAGAGCAGATGCCGCGAAAACTATACAATTTATCAAAAAAGTTGACTATCTCACCTGTAGCAAATTGAATATGCTTTTTTTGGTTCATAGTAGTCATGTCACTAGGACGCATAGTTTCCGAGGATTAAGCGAAAAACCGAAAAGTGGCACCTTTAAACCCCCCTCTCCCCGCCGGCTCAAGGGCTAAGGACGGGGACTTTTGCTATGTT